TATTTGGAAACCTATCAAACTTTATATAAACAACTTGAAGAAATCATTGATGAAAACAATATTTTCTAATATATGAAAATTGGTTTTTTATAACCTTCAGAATAAAAAATTACACAATGCTTTGAATATTTAGGAGAACAGAAAAAATATGTAATTATTTAGGTTTGAAACATAATTTAATGGCTACATTCATTAATCAATCATGTATTTTTTTTATAATCATAAAAATTCACATTATTTCATTTTATTGTAATCAAATTAAATAACATTGGTAGTAAAATAGCATTCAAGATGATAAATACATTTCATATAATATTTATCTTTTCCTTACTTTGACAAATTTGATTTGTAGACTTGATGAAAATTAGAAAAAATATATATATGATTACCATATTGTAAATTATTCTTTTAGTTGGAGAAAGATATTAAAAGGGTTGATATATGTTGTTCTATATTTCATATTAGCTCCTTAAAGTACTTTGATGTTTATATGTTGTAATGTCTTTAATAAGCTCTACTTTGCTCTAAATGATTTTATAATTTAAAGATGTTTATCTGAAGCTACACATTAAAATGCAAAAACATGCTAATAGAAAACAAAGGGGGTTGAAACTTCGGTGATTATTGTTTGTCTTGTAACTTTCGTGATTATAGTTGTTTGTATATTCATTAGTTATTACTCCACTTTTAGCACTACGATGTAAAAAAGATACATTTTTTGTTGTCTTTACTCAAGAACATACTTTGTATGAATGAGTGCTAAAAAAGTTCAATTAGACAACCGATTCTTATTAAAAACCATATTTATATAAATTAGTGTTTCGTATACTTTTCTATTACATAGTCAAATAATACGTAATCTTGATTTTTGTTACAGTTCTTGGAATGTTTTCCAATAAATAAAGTTTATTATGTGAGATTTAAGCATGATACCATAAAAGCTTTGAATTTAAGAAACAATCTTGATTTTCACACAAACATCACCACTTTGTAAAGAATATAAAATTAACATTCATAAAAGTAAGAAAATTTAAAAATCATCGAAATCATGTAAACATAGATTGTTGATATACTTTTTCTTGTAACTTTTAATGCTCTATGGAAAATCTTTGTCTTTTGATCTTCTCGTCGTTTCTTCACCACTCTATGTATCATTATCTCCTCACTTTCTACTTTTTGCTCTTTGTTTGGAGCATCAATATCTGTGTAATCTTCATGTTATTATCATCAATAAAAAATTTTAATTAACATTATCAACAAAAAATTATTAACCTTGAATAAAAATTTGGGGACAAAACGGGATTTAAACTGATTTTAACCGATATTGACAACATAACTCGATTTCACCTAGAATATAAATATACTTACATTTATTCCTATAATAGCAATATACTTATATATACCATTTTACTAGTCAAAATTGTTGAACTTGAAGACCATTGAGCATCTTCCATCATAGAAACTACAGGTAGATCAACAATTCTATTCTGATTCAATTGGTTTCTCTTTAATGGTCTCCATTTGAGCCTCTGGTTGCATAAATTTCTCTAATAACAAACAATATCTAAATAAATTAACCCGATAGACGTAAACATATTTATTTTGATAAGCATTAGTGCAAATATTTTACACAAAAAGTTTGACAAAATTATTCATATTACCTATACAAAAAAGCTATGAAAAGAATGTTTAACACATAATAGCTTTAATATTAACATAAACTTGGGACATATAAAACTTCTTAAATCAATAATCTAATTGTCGGTGCGAAAAGATGATAAAAATCAATCTTCATTGAAAAGCTTAGTATTCAGTTAATCTACACGAAAGTTTGATGTCTCTTCAGTTAACCTACTGGACAACCTTGAACCTATCTCAAAAGCCTAACCTGTTATGAGCGAATTTAACCTCTTTCTCTAAGGCGCACCCAACTCAATAGCCCTATACATAAGCTCCCTGGAATACTCCAATAGTCCAAGGTCTTTTAGTATATCAGCCACAAGTAGATTGCTTTTTTTGTAATCCCCAAGAACAATCGTCAACAACTTAAGGCTATGAAAGTTCAATTTAGAACAATAGTTGTTCCTATTAATTTTGGTGCAGCTGCTGATCAAAATTCAATATCTTTACAAAGTTTGGTTCTTCGTTGTCTTGAAGACAACATATTAGGTGTGTGCTTCTATTGTCTCTGAGATACACATATTTTTTACGTGGTTTTTGATTATGTATAAATGAATAGAAAAAAACCAAGAGCTCAGTTTATTTTTTTTTTTTAAATATGAGTACTTACATTTTTAGATGCAGTAAAATCATTTTTGTAAGCAGAGAAGCACATGTGCCAACCAATAGACCTGCAATATCGAAACACACACACACACACATAATTAGAGAGACAACACACATGCACACATTGGTCTAGAAACATATTTATACCAGATGAAACTTTTAACAAACAAAACAAAGAGATGGAGTTAGAGAAGACATGACGCTTTAGGGTTTTATTTTGGATCGTGAGAGCTAGAAATGGGTTACCTATTCATTGCCCAAAGATCGATAGCAAGTGGTGTTGGTGGTACGCGACAAAGATGGCAGAGCAGGGGAAATAAGTACATCTAGAAGCGATGGATGTGAGACTTGATGGTAGTGGTTGACAGTATAAGACTCGAATTCAATCCAAAAACCTACAAAATCCAAGAAGATACACACATACACACACAATGTTAGAGAGATTTTCTAAAGAGAAATACATTAGTGGTGCGATTGTCTTGTGGTTCCAGATCAATTCTCAAAACTCTATCATAAAAAAATCTAGATGAGAGAGTGGGTTCCTAGAAGAAATGGGGACGTTGGAAGTTTCTGATGGTAGTGGTCGTTGATTATTATGGTGGTGATGACGACGACTACCGGTGAAGATGGGTTTCATGTATGGAGGCAAACGACAATATGGGTATGATCTAGGGTTTTTGCAAGAAGGGGGCGATGATAATGTTTTTTTATTATCGATTTTTCGGGCACCAAACGTTGTTTTTTTTTTCGCTTCGTTTTTTACACCTCTTTTATACATTATCATTTATATTTTCACCAACTTATAACTATTAATATCATTCATAAAGTCATGTGCACCTTCGGGATCAAATATTCATTTCACAATTTAACACTATAATGCTGATGATCTACATTCACATATAAATATTCACAAACATGTATAGATACACACATACACGTACACATATGCCACAACTCATTCATGTGTGCAAATATATAGATATACAAAAATAAACACATCACAAGTTGGTGAAAAGTATAATCCTTACATTGTTAAACCGTGAAAAGAATACTTGATCCCGAAGGTACACACGACTTTATGAATGATATTAATAGCTATAAGTTGGTGAAAATATAGATAATCATGTATAATAGAGGTGTAAAAAAACAAAACGGAAAAAACGACGTTTGGTGTCTGTAAAATCGAAAATCGAAATATCTGTAGCTAATCCTTAGATAATTAGCTACAGAATTCTAATGGAAAACATATTTCGTAGCTAATCTGTAGGTAATTAGCTACGTCTTAGCTACGGAATATGCTTTCCGTAAAAATTCCGTAGCTAATCCGTCTAATTAGCTACAAATTTTTATTATTTCGATTTTTCGGGCACCAAACGATGTTTTTTTCGCTTCATATTTTTCACACCTATTTTATACATAATTATCTATATTTTCACCAACATATAGCTGGTAATATCATTCATAAAGTCGTATGCACCTACGTGATCTATTACTCGTTTAACGGTTTAACACTATAATACTTATTAATACATTCAAATACAAATACTTAGAAATATGTATACACATACACATATACCACAACTCATTCATATACATAAATATACATATACAAACATAAACACATCAAAAGATGGTCAAAAGTATAGGTATTACAATGTTAAACCGTGAAACGGGTTCTTGATTCTGAAGATGCACACGACTTTATAAATGATATTAATAACTATAATCATGTATAAAAGAGGTGTGAAAAAAGCAAAGCGAAAAGAACGTCATTTAGTGCCCAAAAAATTGAAAATAATAAAAATTTGTAGCTAATCTGTAGCTAATTAGCTACAGATTAGCTACGAATTAGCTACGGCTATTTCTTATTTTCGATTTTCTAGGCACAAAACGTCGTTTTTTCCACTTCGTTTTTTTTCACATCTCTATTATATATGATTATCTATATTTTCACCAATTTATATATATTAATGTCATTTATAAAGTCGTGTGCACATACGGAATCCATTACCCGTTTAATGGTTTAACACTATAATGCTTATGATCTACATTCACATAAAAATACTCACAAACATGTATACATACAAATATACATGTACACATATATCACAATCCATTCATGTATGTAAATATACATATACAAAAATAAACACATCGCAAGTTGGTGAAAAGTATAGTGATTACAATGTTAAACTGTGAAACGAATACTTGATCCTGAAGATGCACACGACTTTATGAAGGATATTAATAGCTATAAGTTGGTGAAAAAATATATAATCATGTGTAATAGATTTTTGAAGAAAACGAAGCAAGAAAAAACGACATTTGGGGTCTGAAAAAGCGAAAATAAGAAAAATCCGTAGCTAATTAGCTACATATTTTTCTTAATTTTGATTTTTCGGGCATTAAACATCATATTTTTCTCTTCAGTTTTTCACACCTCTATTATAAATACTGAATAACTATGGACTAGCATCCGTAGTTATTCTGTAGCTATTCCGTTACTAAATTAAGGCGTCTCATTCTATAGCTGATCCGTAGCCATTTCGTAGCTAATTAGCTACGAAAATTTTTTGTAGCTATTTTCTGTAGGAAAACACCCTTTTTTCTAGTAGTGAATCCTAAAAATAGCACGTTGTGAAAATAATGGCATACAGGAGAATAGATTCGGTACTTCACAATAGTTATAAGTAAACAAGTTTCAGATACTTGAATAACATTGAAACATTCTTTCATTCAAATATGGATAAAATACCCAAAGTGTAAATATAAGAATCTGAAAGCAACATAGAGTGTAAACACCATCCATGGATCTTTACAAACCAACAAGGACACATTGGGTAACTCACAATCCTTTATCCACAAATTACAAACGAAAAGGAGATGAACAAACAAAAAAAAACAAATTTTTAGAAAACTCAAAAACTTAATTTTAACAAGTATGGTTTGTAAAACGTTTAGGCACTTGTGGGCAAATGGTCATGGGTTTGGTTCATGAAAAGGAAGTCATAAGCAAACCCAGCAATAGCACCACCAATCAAAGGTGCAGTCCAAAACACCAAGTGGTTGGGCAAGGTAATGTTCCAGCTCACCAAAACCCGGCCAATTGACAAAGCCGGGTTCATAGATGCTCCAGTAAACGCCCCGCCCGCCAAGATATTCGCTCCAACAATAAACCCAATGGCAATTGGTGCGGTTGTTCCCAAATTACCCCTCTTGGGATCTATTGCGGTTGCGTAAACTGTGTAAACAAGCCCGAATGTCATCACGATCTCAAATACGAAAGCGTTCCAGAACCCGACTCCTTCATCAAACGTAAACTCTTCTACAGACTGCAAAAGAATGATATTTACCGTTTCAACTCCATAAAAAACTTGTAATTTGAATTAATATACTTTTAAAGTGGCATTTTAAGGTAAGTATTTATTTTAATATTTTGAGTAGGAGGTTATCTTAAAGTTGAAAAATATACATTTCAAACGTTAGCGATGGTGGTATGCTAGCTAGATGGCCTATTGTCATTGTTTTTATCTACTTGTTAATTTTAAAAAGAGTTGTTATATTACATATTATAAGGATATATTATAGAGATTGTATAAAAAAAGTTAAAGAGATTGTATAACCATGAGGAATTCATTATCATGCAAACGTATAGCTATATTATAATATATTGAAAGAAAAAAAAAAATCAATTAGATTCTCACCATGCCATTGGTGACAAACTCGAGTAGCAAGCAAGCGACAATGGACCCCAGCACCTGACCAAGTATGTAAACAAGACCACGGAGGAAAGTGATATTACCACCAACAAAGGCACCGAGGGTGACGGCGGGGTTCACATGTCCACCGGAGATATTGGCACTGATGGAGACAGCCACGAACAGGGCAAAAGCATGGGCAATAGCTGCTACCACAAGACCAGTAGGGGTGGCAGGACCATCGTTGGTTAGCTTGCTTAAAGCTAAGCCGGAACCTGTGCCTGCAAAGACGAAGATGAAGGTGGAGATGAACTCCGCCACCCCGGCCTTTATGGTATCCGGGTGCTTAAACTCATCATATCGGCCAAAAGCGATTGAACGGATTGGCATAGTTGAGTTTTGATTGATAAGATGGCGGAGGTAGGCGGAGAAGGGGAGAGGGAGGTGTAAGTTGGTATGCATATATCGCAAGCAAATGAGGTGCTTATATACTGGTTTGTTTTAGTGTTTTACCTGTTACTACCGGTTAACCACCGGTCACAAAGGTTAACCATCGGTCACAAAGGTTTCCTGGTTCTTTTGTTATTAAAAATTTTGTGAGATTTGCTAAAGTTTATTAAACACACTAACTTTTGGGCGTTGGTTTTGTTTTGACCACTGTTTTATTTAATCATTAAAACAAAGATTAAATGCTTAGTCGTAATAATGTTATTAACGTTAGACCTAATTACATTTGTTTTTGCCAATATTTAATCAACACAATCCCCCCCCCCAAAAAAAAAAAAAAAAAAAAAAAAAAAACTTATGGAACAACTTACTTTTGTTGAAGAACTCGATTGAAGGCAGGAGAGGTTATAACTCGACTTTATGTGATGTAAGTACTCCAAATTTTAATAGTGCATGTATCTTCGAATATGCTATGGGAGGAATAAGATATGCATATATGACATAAGGAGTATGACATAAGGAGGAGACAAGTTGAAAAAAGAAGGGTGGCAAGTTGAGTAAAATAGATATATTCCTGGTTTTGCTTTTCTTTCGTGAACAGTTGGCGCAACGCAGCTGCTCTTCCAAGAGAGTTCCCGCTGTTAAATATTGTATAGTTATAGTTATCTAGTATTTTTTGGATCTCCTTGCATAGTGGAGGGCCCTTTGTTTACTTTAGTGTGTATGTATATATATATATACATACATATATATATATATATATATATATATATATATATATATATATATATATATATATATATATATATATATTCATTTGAAATCACTTATATTTTGTTAGACATATAGATTAAATCTTAGCATTTGATCAAATTTGATATTTTGGCTCATAAAAAATAGATTAATACTAATTAATCTAACTGATTAGTTAATTATGAGTAGATTAGTCATTAGGTTAAATTTAAGATGATCGGATCTTATATAATGTTAGCGTCATCTTCACGTCACCAAGAAATCATCTCATTTGTTTCGATTCATCTACCAATTTATTCGATGGATCAACGTTCATTGTCCTTCAATTCACTTCGATCGATCTTCTATCTCCAATCTTATATTTTTTCAACCGATAATCGATTTGAGTTGGGCATTGATCAAACGATGCTAAATCATAGCTTTTAAATTTGCGATTGTTTTGTTTTTCGAGTTCATGTTCTTCATTTTTCTACATCTGAAATTGATGATCCAAGTTATGATTTTTATGTTCATCTATCAACATTAGCAATTCATTAGAAGATTTGATCGATTTTAACTCTGTTATCATCGATTTTGGTATAGGTTCATGTGTTCAAAGATTTCTGTTAATCTTCATCTTCAACAATTGTTTATGATCTTTCAAGCAGTGATTTTTACTGAACAACATGAATTCATCAATTTATCAAGGTATGATTTTTATCGCTTTCATTGTTACTTGCATATAACATATTCATTTTTTAGCCTAGTTGATGAATTGAATCATTAATTTTAATCGTGATCAACAATTGATTGTCATTTGAGATCGTTTTCAGTAGCATCAGGTTTGACTTTTTTTTTCTCTGGTCATCGATTACAAGCTTTGATTTATTTCATCATCTTTTTGTTGCAATCATTCAACAGAATTTGAATACATTATTCTCCACAACCGAGGAAATAATACTTGAAGAGAATCAAGTGGAAATAACGAATCTTTGAGTCATTTTGCATTATTTCTGTCAAATTAACTAGGTATGTACAAACTGATTATTTATTTTGAGCAAATTTTCTTAAACTATACATATATTCCACCTGTTTGATAAAAGTCCTAAAAGAATAAAGAGTCCGATATATCACCCCCTCATTTCTACAAATAAAGTCTTCTTTAAGAATATGAATATACTTCAATATGAGTTGCAATTAGTGTAGCATAATTCAATGTTGATTACTCCTATTAAATTTACCTAGTTTTGTTAATACATATATGAGGATATGTCTTTTAGCACAATTTTGTTTTAATATGCTCCTATTAGCCTATAGAAAACGGGTTATACTAAAGAAAAGATTGATGCTCTTAAATCAATCACCAGGAGTTGCCCCCTTGATCAGATGATATTTTAAATCGTAAACATCAAACCATACATAGATCTTCCTCTTCTTCACCTGATGAAATCGCAACTAGAAGTATGATATTCCACAATTTCAAACATTAGGTTGTACTCTCATATCAATGATTTTCAATAATTCCTCATGATCAACAATCAATCATGAACCGAGATAAAACTTTCAACTATTTGAAGCTTCGATTTTTTTCTATCAAATCATCGATTTTTGCAAATCATCATTACCTCGTATCTATTATCAGTTGGAATATTTGATTTCAATAATGGATTATCAATTTCAAGGTTAGATATTTCTTCTACACATTCAAGCACATAATACATAAATGAAAGGAAACAACAATAACGAATCTTAGAGTCTTTATGAGCTCTTTCTATAAAATTAATGTGGTATGTACAAAAAGTCAATGTTTTTGAGCAAATTCTCTTAAACTATACATGCATTTTACCTGTTTGATGTAAGTCCTAAATAGATAAAGAGTCTGAAGATATAAGAGTTTTCTAGGTATTTAAGTCAGGGTTCATGTTGAGGATAAAATAAGAGTATGAAATAAGAGTCCTTTCAAGTACTTAAGTTAGAGTTTATGTTCATATGATATGATTGTGATGTTCTAAATTAGGACTTGCTTCAATGTACTTAGTCAATTATTTTAAATAAATTGTTGTTAGTAATAGCATATTGCATTTAACTGACATTTGATATTCCAGTATTTCTGGTTTTTACATAGTTTAGTATTAGATGTAACATTTAATTAATATTAGAATGTTATGTGTGGTTAATGATTTTAGTTACTTAATAGATTACATTTTTTATAATAGTAATAAAATATTATGTTGGAGTGAATTGTGTTTTTCTAAATGTTAGTATGTTTAGTACTCTAGTTATTATGTTTTGAAAATTTTATTCCATCTGAAAAGGCATGCTAATGTGAGAATGTTATATAAGGAATTTTATGTGTATTATCCTATAATAACTAAATTTCACTTTCTAAAATCGTGATTCCTTTCAAATCTAAAAAAAATGTAGATTTTTGATAATCATTGAAAGTGGAATACGAAAACCGAATAGCTACAAATCCCAATATCAAAATATGAATTTCTTTTCTTTAGTAAGTTTCTAATGTCCATATCTAATTTTTAATATCTTTCACATGGTTAAACTACATCAATTTAAATGGCATCTGGAAACCATCATTGTTTGGTTTAACATTCATTTTTGTAAATTTTATTTGTTTGATACGCTAATTACTTTTAGATGTTATTTTTAAGTGTCAAGTTACTGCAAAAACTAAGGTCACTATAAAGAGTTAGGATTTTGTATGGCTAACCAATGATGAGTTTTTAAAATACTGATCTTGATCATAGTTGTTCATCAGTTGAATCCGCTTGTCTAAATAACTCTGACTTTAGAATATTAATCAGACTATAATGTGTTTTTAGTTCATAAGAATTATAATTTATGAGCATATAAGCTTTTAATATTGTGTTTCTGATATATTTCAAAAAAAAAAAACAAATTATTGTGATCTTCATCATGTTGTTATTACTTTACACAATACATTATTTTTATCAAAATAATTATAAAACATTACTTTTACGTAATTCTATATTTCTCATGTTTATAATATAATTTGTAAATCATTATATAATGATAAATATTAATTGCATATTCTTTTTGTAGGTCCATTTAGTGATGCTAAGAAGAATCTCATTAAAGCATTGCATTTATTTCAACTATTGGTTTTTTAGTTTGGATTCTAAATATACTACACGTTGATATATATATATATATATATATATATATATATATATATATATATATATATATATATATATATATATATATATATATATAGGAGTAGGATCAAATGAGAACACCAAAAAGGTTGAGAACGCGAGAACAATTATCAACCAATCATTTTATTAGGGTATTTAAGTAAATTTGTATTTAATCTATTTTTTAATTAATATAATATAATTAATAATCAATATATTATCCATTAATATTTTCCTATAATTAAGGGATATTCCATAGTTATCGTTCAATGAGATATTGAATTGAAGATACGATGTCCAGGGACCATTCGTGTATAGCAATCGAGTATAGCAATCGGATTTTCAGTCGAATGTTGTATATTGTTAATCATTTACGTTTGAAGATAACAACGCAGTATACCATTCGTGATTCAAATCAATATCGATGTCGTACTGTTTTGATTACAGTAGCGATGATACAGAAGATGATGATCAATATGACGAAGAAGACGTCAACTGTAATGAATATGACGACGACGATTTCTATAAGTCTGATGATCAATTCGACGGAAGAAATCAGATCTCTGATTATGCTGGTGAAGGTAACTAATGAAAACAATGTCAATATCTTGTAATTACATATCGTGTTTTTCAATAGTTATTGAGTTTTTGTATATGTTGAATAAGACCGAGTACATATTTGTATATGATTAGTCATATACGTTGCATGTATTAATTACGTAATGATGGTTTATATCACATATCGTTGTACAGGAGTCCCTCGTTGGTGTTTTTTTCTTAAGTTTAATACAATATTGATTAAGTTCGATAATCATTGGTGATTACGCGTTAATACGACTCAAACATGTAAACAATTCAACTTTGGTTACTGTTTCACATACGTTTATTATGATTATAAAGTTCTTTAGTTTATGTATACGTAATTCATAGAATTTTATATTAGGTTTTGCATGTCGCATTATTGTTTTTTGTTGTCTTAAAAAACAGGTACAAATCGAACTGATTCTGAAGAGGAATCATTCAATAGTAATGTTGTTGACTCGCCTGGTGGGAAAACCAAGTTGTGGAAACCTATTGTTCCTAAAGATTTTATGCCAGATGTAGATGCTATATATCAATCATTAGAGGAGGCGGTTGAAATGTATAAATTATATGCAGATAAAGCAGGTTTTGGTGTCAGGTTAAATACAGTAACGAGGTTTGGTGACAAAACCATTAAAAAAAGGTATGTAGTTTGCAACAAAATGGGTAAAATACCTAACAGATCAACTGACACTTTGGATCCTGAGGGGAGTGGAAGGAATAAACGAAACTCAAACTTCAAAATTACGGACTGCAAGGCATTGATAAAGTTTGAAAGGTTACATATGCAAACTAATGCTTGTAAAATATATGAGTTTGAAGAGAATCACAACCACCCCCTAGAGACTAAAGAAGAAAGATGGTATTCCAAACGTGCACGACGACTTAGTTACAAAGACAAGGAGTTTATAGTGCGTTCTTCAACATCTAACATTGGTGCAACAAAGGCACACAAGTTACAAGCTAGTTTGCAAGGAGGTTATGAAAACATTGGCCCTGAATCAATTGATTATAAAAATTTCAGAAGGAAGGTGGGAAACATTATTGGTGACAAGGATGCACAGCTGGTTGTTGACAAAATGAACATGAGGAAAGATGAGTTTCATAATTACACATTTGAGTATAAATGTGTTGATAGTGTGTTAAACGCAATGTTTTGGGCAGATGAAACCGATAAGTTATATTACAAGGAGTTTGGAGATGTGATATCATTTGATGCTACATTCCGAACAAATAAGTATGCTCTTATACTCATTACACACTTTTTTTTAAGTATGAATATTGATGTTTTTTTTACTTCGTAATCAATATTGAATTTGTTTTTAATTACCTTTTTGATACAGGTATGGAATGATTTTTGTGCCGTTTACAGCCATTGATAACCACAAACGTTCAATAAACATTGGGGCAGGTTTGTTAAGCAACGAGTCAATAGAATCTTATCGTTGGTTGCTTGAAGCTTTTTTGAAAGCACATGTGAAACACCCTCAATTAGTGTTAACAGACCAAGATCCAGCAATTCTACAGGCCGTTGAAGCAATATTTCCTAATTCTAATCATCGTTTATGTATGTGGCACATTATGAAAAAACTACAAGCCAAGGTGTGTATATTTTGGCCTAAGTTAGCACGCAACAGTTTTATTCAACAATGATTTACACAGTTTTACATATTTCTAATAACGATTAGCATACATATTGTTTATTCATAGTTAATCTAATAAATTTCTATTTTTTTTAGGTTTCAGCCGATTTTTTGAAAAACACTGATTTTCGCAAGCGTTTTACAAAGCTTGTATGGAATGTCTATATCGAGCCTGAAGTGTTTGAATCAAGGTGGAAACTGCTTATGAGAAAATTCAAACTACAGGACAAAAGATGGTTCAAAGACATGTACAGGGATAGAAAACTTTGGATTCCAGCCTATTTTAAAGACATGCACTACACGGTCTGATGAAAACTACTTCAAGGTCTGAAAGCGTGAACTCATTTTTTAATAAATACTCTAACTGTGGTAATTTGCTTATCTATTTCATGATGAACTACGACACCGCAATTGGAAAGCAACGAAATGCTCAACAGAAACTAGAACATGATACAAAAAATGCAAAGCATGAAATGACGCTTCCAAGTGGCTTACTAGAACATGCAGCTGCGGTTTACACAAAAAAGATTTTCTATGAGGTCAAAAAGGAAATATTTAAAGCAGCCTGGTACTGTTCTATCGACAGTGTTGAAAAGATTGATGGGTGGCAAGTTGTTATGATTACACAAACGGATAAGAGCAAACAGTTGAAGATAAAATGCAAGGTTATATTCATCGTTTAAATGCTTTTCATTAGTCATCATACAAGTATAATATCTAATTATTTTTAAATTACATATATTTTTTTCATTATTATGCAATAACCACCAACTAATATGTTACTTCAATCAGTTACTAACATACATTATTTTTATTATACAATGTAGGTTGAACTAAAGTTGCCTGAAAAAGAAGTTAAATGTTCATGCAATCACTTCATACGTACTGGCATTTTGTGTCGTCATATTTTTGCTGTACTGAAAAACAACCATATTGAAGAGATTCCAGAGCAGTATATTCTAAGAAGATGGAGTAGGGATGCAATTTCCAGCCATTTGTTTGCCATGAAACATGTTGCCATGGAAATAGAAGATGACACCTTTAAACTTTTAACAGAGGCATACAACAATATTGAATACTGCTTGGATCATTTTAAAAGAAGCAAAGAGAAACTGTTGGAGTTTGTTGAAAAAACACGTACGTTGAAGCGGGCAGCAATTGAGTTTGCCAGTTCCAACCAAACATCATCTGATAACGATGAAGAAGAAATTATTCGGATGCTTGGAATACGCAGCATTCCTGATGAAATAAATATCCATCCACCTGCATCTATACGTACCAAAGGTAGTGGAACTAAGAAAAGAATGGTTAGTGCTATTGAGAAAGCCGTTGCAGCTGCAAGAAAAAAACCAGAATGTGCACAGGTTGCAATCAATATGTTAACCATAATTGGAGGACTTGCAAAGTAAGACTTGCACGAGAGTCAAAAGCAGCTTAAAATTGCCCAGTCATTTTCCCATTAGATTTTACTTTTCTATTACACTTATGAATACGAATATGTTTCTATGATTTAGTAGGTTATGTTATCTTAAACCACTTTCATTACTTTTGAAGTTTTTATTTTATTCATAGATGAATAATAGCAATGCCAAATTTGGTAATGCTAACAGATTAATGACAATATCTGGTATTTAAACCTCTTTTATTAGATTAAAACAGTTCGCACTTACAATAGATATACTTGTGCTTTTTTCAAATTATAAAACCATCAATCATTATATACTATAGTCATATACAATCCAAGCAATATTCATAGTTTATTGTATGCTGTTAGTAGTATATCTTAATACCAAATGTTTGTACGATTAACTTTTAAAATAGCTATACATCATATATTGATTTACGTTTGCGTTTGGGTAAATTTTAGTCATAAGTTTAACCATGGTTGACTTTTTAACCCTTAAGTGTAGTCAATAATGAATAACATCATAAATACGTTAATTATTTTCAACATATTGATGATATGAACATTGTTAAATACTATTCAGTTTAAGATAAAACAATTTGCATTTAAATTAAAATATGTTAGGAATACTTCAAGTAAGTGTTTATGTTATTATTCAATATTTAAATAACAACATACTTTAAGATATAAACCCACCAACAATCATTATATAATATAGATATGTTCACTTTAACTATTAAAAATTTGATTGTATGTTCATAGTAAAATAGCATATTAACAAATGTTTGTTAGTTATATTCATTACTGAACATACATTAAAACTATACCATCAATGTTAATCATCATTTTCTAAGATAACTTAATTATTCAAATGTTAATGTAAAAATATAAATACTAAAATATCACTAGTCCATTACTAAAATTATCAAACCAAAGGTAAGTATGTAGGTTGAACTAAAGTATAATATGTTAGGAATACTTCAAGTAAGTGTTTATGCTATTATTCAATATTTAAATAACAACCTACTTTAAGATATAAACCCACCAACAATCATTATATAATATAGATATGTTCACTTTAACTATTAAAAACTCTGATTGTATGTTCATAGTAAAATAGCATATTGACAAATGTTTGTTAGTTAGAATCATTACTGAATATACATTAAAACTATACCATCAATGTTAATCATCATTTTCTAAGATAACTTAATTATTCAAATGTTAATGTAAAAATATAAATACTAAAATATCACTAGTCCATTACTAAGATTAGCAAACCAAAAGTAAGTATTGTACGTACAGCAACCCAAGTTAACATCCTTAGCATACAAAAGCATTGTTTTTAATCCATCCAAAAGAAACCATTAAAGTCATAACTAAAATTACTTTCTTAAAACAATTAACTTAAAACATCCAATCTCCTGTGAATTTCTTCCTTTGCAATGGCCAACATTTGAGAACGTTGTTTTGAAGGAATCTTGTGGAATTCATCAACCTTTTGCAGCACATAATCCTTTTGCACATTATATTCATGAGTGAGTATTTTGTATAAATACTTTGTCCTCAGTTTAACAAGTTGATCATCTTGTGCAGAAGACTCGTTCTTGAATCCAGCTTTAAACTCATTCATACTTCCCCCCATATATGTTTCCATGTGACGCATCGTAAACACACCACAATCAATGCTGTTGTTTATTGTTCTCCAAGGCATTTCCAGTCTATGTGGCATCACATGTGAAAACATCTCAGCTTTTGGATGATTCTGAGATTTTAAGTAATCAACTATGTACTCTTTCTGAAAATGTAAAAAAAACATTGTTAACACATATTAAATTTTATTAAGTATGTAAAGTAATTTTTATTAATCACTTACAATGATTTGGGGCAACTGACCATATCTCTCACCATCAGGATCATCAACTTTGCTGTTGTCAACGATTACAAACTCTGGTTGTTGTAGATTGATCACAAAAAGGAAAATGTGGAAGGAACGGATGATTGGTAGGAAAAGCTGCAACGTTTATTAATTACAATTGTATTCACTTTATTTTATATTCATATTTGATCAATGATAAATACACATGTAAGTAAACTGTGGAGATATATATCTTACCAGTCCAACAAAACGTAGGCTTGCGTCCATATCTTCAATAGAAAGCACCAAATTCTCAATGAATTTATCTTTACGTTGACTTTCTGTTAAACCACTTTCTAGATACGAATTCTGTGATCGATTTTTAAAAACTCGTTAACTTCTTTATATGTTTGTATTTAAAAAATAATACAATCAACATCGAACAATATTAACTTATACCGTCACATCTGTCTTGCAATAAACTCTCAGGGGCGATTCAGGTGCACGCTTACTTTCATCAAGATTCAACACTTGACTCCAACAATCAATGACATGGCCAAATAGTTCACATGTTGGAAAAAAACTTTCCATATGAAACCTCTGTGCAGAAAACCCATCCAGAGTGTGGAAAACTATATCACTGCAATAGACGTGAACAATTAATACTATTTTTAATGAGCAAACAATAAAAGTAAGTAATTTTAAAAATATTTTAAATGCAACTTACTTTGGATCTCCCTGGAGAGAGAATATCCATTCTGCTACACGTTTTTCCTGCCGTGGAACTCCTTTGATGATATCAACAGCCCGTATAACGTAAGGAGATTTCAGATATTCGGATTTCATGCGAGGCCTGTACCCTCTTCTACTAACCCAATGTTCATCTTTGTTGAATGGTACTACAGACAAAGGAATTGGCATTTCCATTTTAGATGGTGGTGTATTCTTAAAAGATTTTGTTCCAGATCTATTCGCGAAATCTGCATATTCCTGTGACATTTGAATACTACATTTTGCTAACGCGGAGTTGTCAAACTGTTTGTTAGTTGTAGCTAGAATCAGCGTACGTTCAATTTCAGCCTCGTTATCATACCACCATTGAGATTGTTCTGGTTCCTCTGATGCAGAAACTTCAGTAAACAAATCATTTACTTTGTTTTTCCATTCTTTGACCAACTGATTATCAGGATATTTCTTGACAGCATCATTTATTTTTTCTTCCAACACTTTCTTTTGCTGCAATATCATGTCGTACATCTCCTTTATTGTTGAAACAGTTGTCTAAATAGGTCACCACAATAGAATTATGTTACAAACCAAATAAAAATATTAATATGTCAGTTAGTATTAATTAATACTGTAGAAACTCATTATTCAAATGTGAATAGGTAGTTAACTACCTCAACAGTTTCCCCACTTCCACTAAAAATATCATCTCCATGATTTCC